CTGATTGCATTCAGGTATTTGAGACCTGAGATTTCAAAGCAACAAAGGACACAGGGTGAAAATGAGAGAAAAGGGTGACAAATCAAAAATGCTACTTCAAGTGATGGGGGCGAGGCGCTTTCAAAGCAGAAATCAGAAAATGATTTCCTTAAAAAAAAAAAAAAAAAACTGATTTCCCCAAAACTTTTTTCYTCCCACATCAATCAACTGATAAAAATGTTGAGTAGTAAAGACCACTAACAACTATTTCTCTTCAAACTTTTCACTAATRTGGATGTGTCTGTTTCTTTATGCCTTGTTTTGTCTTGCTTTTCACTGCTTAGGAAGTCTATAATGCTGCCTGTTATTGTGACATTGCTTTTTTATAAGCTTCGTCATAATTGARATGACATCTGTTAGATTTCCTTATATTCGTGGAATTCATTCATTCCTTCATTGAGAAAAATCTCTCAACACCTACGAGGAGCCAACCATGCCAGGCRGTAGGAAAGTGGCTTGTCAAAAATCAGACTGAAGCACTCATTCTTAGAAGATGCTCTTAAACTACACGCAGCTCAGGACTAAGACAYTGGCATGGCATTGGGGTCAGGAAAGAGTGGCCTATCACTGGGACAACAGCTTTTATGATGCCAGTGTGATAACGGTTTCTGAAAGTCGTGGTTGAATAGCAAGGACAGTAGGCATGGGGCTGTTTCTTCATTACTGGTATTTTGTGGTTTGGTCTAATCCTGTTCACCTGGTTAGAAGATCACTTTCTAAGGGAAATGCCCGTGTGGTGAGTACAAATCACTTTACATGCAGGTGGGTGAATTCATAGAAGATAGTTTGGGTTCCATTAACTCTTTGATAGTTTTTTGCTCACCCTTGGGCCTTCCCCTCCTGCCTGGATCATGTCCCTCAGGAGCAGGCAGGGGAGAACCTAACTCCTCTGACCTACTGTAGAGAGCTGGTCACTTAACCCTTCAGCCTTAACTTTTTTCCTTTGGCAAAATTGCTTTCTACCAGTCCTCCCTGGCATGGTAGCAAGAGTAATCAGGCTGCTTTCTGGGCACCAGGAGACTGAATGGCTCTTGTTACCTCAGAAAAGTTGATTCTGCTTGTTCTCCACTCTTGCCTATAGACCATCATCTGCAAATAGCATAAGTAGCAGTGCGTCTTCAAATCACAGCGGCTACGCGCCAGAGCCCCCTCTGCCCCCGGTTGGAGGTGACCTCACCAGCCGACTGTCCAGTGATGAAGGGGAGATGGACGGAGGCGACGAATCTGAGAGGTTGGACTGTCAGTTCTCCGTGCACCATCCCAGACCTCTTGCGGTAGGCCTCCTCCTGTTCCCTTCCACGTGGCTTCCCCAGGGTCACATCCTCACTCAGGCACTTTGATGATCAAGGCAGAGGCTCCAATTCCTAAGGAGAAGGTGTCAGCACAGAGCTTTACCAAAGGCTTACCCTGAGGTTAAGTGATGGCATTACAAATGCCCTTGAACATCACAGAAAGAAAGGAAAGGGCTCCTGCCCGATTATAATCCTTTAAATACTTGGGTACTTATGGCCCACCCACCTGGAAGTGAAAATGTTTGAGAAATGACATTTATGTAAATGAACTCAGGAGCTAACCTTTTGGCCTTGTCCTTCTAAAAATGAAGTGTCTGATGTCCAAAGTTAGCAGGGCTCCTCTGGAAGCCATCCATCTTAGCCATGTGTCAGGTACCAGCCCTCGCTGGTGTTCTCCCTACTGGTTCTAAGTTATGCCGTTATTACTGTGACCATATGGTGCCAGACTGAGAGAGAGGGTGGGCTGGGGTTGTAGCTCAGTGGTAGAGTGCTTGCCTAGCATGTGTGAGGCACTGAGTTCAATTCTCAGTACCGCATATGAATTGATCAATTAATTGATTGATTAAAAGGTTCATTGACCAAAAAAAAAAAAAAGTGTATCTGGTGTATTAAAAAAAAAAAAAAAAAGAACTGAGAGAGAGAGAGGAATGGAGGTGGGGGGAGTTGAGGAGTGGAGGAAGAATTTTGTGTCAGCATGATTGCTTATTAACAAACAGGGCACTTTCTTTCCAATTCCTTAATAGTTCACTTTAACAATTCAGGCCATTGAAATCAAAGTGAGTAATCAAGGCATCAACTAGAGGCTGGTATATATTTGCCTTCTGAGCACATGAGAAGGGAAGTCTCTGGTGCCAAATGCAGGGGGCTTGCAACATGGGACACCACGRTGGTTTGCTCTGGTGCCAGTCTGAGCTGTTCACGATTGGCTTTGACTTACCTCTAGATCTCAGGGACCAGTAAGTTAAATGAATCCTCCACCATGAGAGAGTGAGTTCCTCCTCCCTCCTATCTGTGTGATGAATGAAGGCCACATCCACTTTGTCCTTCCAGGGATGATGGTTACCTGTCGCTCATCTAGAGCCTGAGATTGCCTCATGATCCTGTACAGAAATAGTTAGGAACGACTTGGAATCCTTTTCCTGCCAGTAGTAGAAAAGTCATCTGCATACACATGAAGGATATTTAATTAAGTCACAAAGCAAGAAGGCTAGAGGTGTGTGCTTCCATGCTTGATTCAGTTCTTCCACGATGTCATGGAATTAAAGAGCAACCTCTGTAGCCATCAGTGCCTTTTGTGCATGGTTTCAGTGCAGCCACTGCGGCTCCAGGGTCACGTCCTCACTCAGTGGCATTATGCACAGAATGGAAAGGGATACACAGAAAATGGACCTTCCAAGATGACGTGTTCTCTCAGTTAAAAATAATCTTCAGCCAAGAGTTGTGGCACTCGCCTATTTATCCCAGCAACTCGGCAGGCCAAGACAGGAGGATTTCAAGTTCAAAGCCAGCCTAGGCAACTTAACGAGGCACTGAGCAACTCAGAGAGTCTGTAATTCTAAACAAAACATTTAAAGAGCTGGGGAAGGACTGGGGCTATAGCTCAGTGGTAGAGCACTTGTCTCGCCACAATGTGAGGCACTGGGTTCCATCCTTAGCACCACATAAAAATAAATAAATAAAGATATTGTGTCCATCTACAACTAAAAAAATATTTTTTAATTAAATTTTTGTTTAAAAAAGGGCTGGGGATGGGCTGAGGCTCAGTGGTAGAACACTTGCCTAGCATGCGTGAGGCCGTGAGTTCTATCCTGAGCACCACATAAAATTAAAAAGAAAAAAAGAGCAAAGACGTGGTGTTCTTAGCAAGAGGAAGACAGGTCCAGGTGAGAGGAGATGCAGTGGGCAAGGTTGGCAGCCAGCAGGGCCTATGGTGACCACAGGGCAGATCGGCTTCCTACTGAGGACACAGTATGCCAATCAGGAAGGGAGCCTCAGCAGCTGCGTTGTCTTTTATCTGTGGAATTAGATAGGTGGGGAACCAAGATCAAGAGCTCCCAAGTCTGCAAGAGAGATGGGCTCTCCCAGAAGGCCAGACTCTGGGGGACATCAAGATATCCGTCCCCAGGACAAGCTGCTGTAGTAGGTTAGCTAAACTCCGGACATGGCACATTTGTGTGCCATTAATGTTTTGCTGATTTAAATGGAAAAGCCACAGATCTGTTTCTTTGGTTTGTCTAGTCTCATGGCCAATTAATACAGTAAATCATTTTTGAAATAAACAATGTGTCCTTAGCAATTGGGATGAAGGAAGAAATGATGTCCAGGGGCTAGAGTTGGGGCTCAGCGGTAGAGCTCTCGCATAGCACATGTGAGGCTCTGGGCCCAATCCTCAGCACCACATAAAAATAAATAAATAAATAAAGGTGTTGTGTCCCACTACCACTAAAAAACAAATATTTTTTTTTTAAAAAGAAAGGAAGAAAATGATGTCTAGACCTAGAACAACTCCTACAAACAGCTGGAGACCAGCTTCTGCATTGGAAAATTCCTTGGTATATTTTCCTGCTTAGCCAATAAAAACTTAGGGACACAAAAAATGTGTTCATCAGTGATACCAGATTTGGTGGGCACTAATATTTTAATGCAAAATCCCCCAAATACAAGCACAAACAGAACAAAGGGAAGGTCTTATATTTTCTCCTAAAAACTGTTCCAAAGGCTGGATCCAGACGGGTTTGTGGAGTGGGTGCCAATCAGCACTATGTCTGGGACAGAGGCCAGGGAGCTGCTGCAGGGCTGAGGAGCAGGGAAAACTGCATTTGAGTCACGGAGTCATTTGCAAACTTGTTTGAGCTCTAGACCAGCCTAATGTCACCTTCTCAGAGGCCACTCTGTCATCTGGCTTTCCAGTTGTCCTAACATTATGATCAAGTGGTGTTTGCTAAACATTTGAATGACCATATTTCAGCCATCTATTTTAAATGCAATGGTTTGCTTTAAACATTTTGGAGGAGCTTTGTCTCCCCAATCCTTTTTTGTTTTTTTTTTTTTGGTCAGGGGTGTACCAGGATTGAACTCAGGGGCACTGAACCACTGAGCCACATCCCTATTTTGTTTTGTGTTTTTTTTTTTTTTTTTTAGAGTCAGGGTCTCACTGAATTACTTAGCACCTTGGTTTTGCTGAGGCTGGCTTTGAACTCATGATCCTCCGGCCTCAGCCTCCCAAGCCACCGGGATTACAGGCATGAGCCACCATACCCAGCCAGATCAATTCTTTATCACAAACCTTTATGATTCTCATACAGAGGAGGAAGAGAATGGAGTCCCTGCTATTTATACACTAATAGCCATCAGGTACATAAGCATTGTATATGTAAAATGAAATAGCCACGTAGTTACTCCAAGGTGAAGTACAATAGAATATACAGTAGGTATGCCAGGGGAGCTCGCAGGGGGAAGATCCATCAGATGAGCCTATTGGAAATGAGAATCTTGATTAGTGCACTGAGTGGGGGACTGTCAAAGAGAAGAGAGCAGGAGAGGCAGAAGGGCAGTAGGAGCAAAAGCGTGGAAGCATGCTGTGGCCCCAGGCAGCCTGCAAGGGCCAATGCAGGGAGCTGAAGTCTGGACCTAGGAAAGGAAGGCATTAGCCTGGACAGAAGTGAAGTGGCTCTGTGACCTCTGTGACATACGTAGGAAGGTATGGCCCATGGCACCAGAACCAGCATTTCCCATTACAAGGATGGGAGGCAGGGAGCCCCAAATTCTTTGAGAAGATGGATGATGTGATGAACAGATGGAGCTCTGAAAAGTCTCCCTGGCTGCTTGTAATGGTTGTTTGCTTTTTAACCTGAAATGCTGGCCCAATCCCAGGAGTCGAGAATGTGGCCCCTGGTGCCAAGGAAGATTGAATGTAGCTATTGTTGTAGATAGAACGTGAGGTTCTGCAGAGTATCTCAAGCTCAAATTACAGCACCACCGAAATATTTTTGCCTTCAGTACTATTTGCTTCTTTATTTTGAGTAAAATGGTACCCCTGTGTGTTTTTATGCAAATGTTATTTTTCTCTGTGTGGTTTATATTAGCTTATTAACCTGTAATCAAAATTAAAATTTTGTTTTCCTCACAGTTTTGCTCATTCGGGAGTCGCCTCATGGGACGAGGGTACTATGTGTTTGATAGAAGATGGGATCGTTTTCGATTCGCACTAAACTCCATGGTAGAGAAACACTTGAATTCACAGATGTGGAAGTAAGTGAGCAGGTTCCGGGCAGTGTAAGGTCAGAGCTGCCCCACAGTCACCCGAACCCTAACTTCTACATAAACGTCAGCAGTTGGCATTTTCACAGAGCAAAGAGARTCTGAAATCAGGATTTGTGATTAATTCTTCAACGTCAGCTCTTCTTCATGGTTTGCCTGAAGATTTCTAGAAATACATATGATGTGCTAGATATATACTTTTTATCTTCTTTGAAGATCATTTCTGTGTTGGTAATATTCTAAACTAAACAAAAAGGATATTAGATAAGACCATATTTCTTTGACAGGGCCTTTTTACTACTATTAAGAGCATCTAAGGATATTAAGAATATGCTTTTAGTGATGTTAATGATACAATAGCAATACTACTAAAGATTTTATAATTGGTTATAGACCAATTTCTAACTGTTTTCTGTCCTGTGGGGAAAATGTGTTCGGTTGCCAACAGGGCAGACCCTGAGCAATGCTGTGAAGTTGGTTAAGTTTATCTTTGGCCCTTCCCGTCTCCTTTGGGCCCCTTCCTCACCTCCGCTTGTCCTGTTTTCTTCCCTAAATTCCAACCTGTGTTCCATTTCTCTATGGACCTTTATTCTCCAACACTTCCCAATTTACTTTCATCTTAATAGGGGATTCACAAAAGGGAAGAAACCTCGATTGGATAGAATGCTATTATGAAGGAACAACAGGCCTAGACCCCAACAAACCATGACACACACAAAGAGCTACCTTTTGGCCATTTGACAATGTAAGCCTCTGGGTGTCCCCCTACCCTGCTCCTACCAACAGGAGCTCTGAAGAGACTATAATCCCATGGAAGCATGGATCATGTAAGTCTGGCCCCAGATAGTCCAGGAAAGCCAACAGCTGAAACCCCAACCCCGAGCCCGCCCAGAGCGGTCCTGGAAAGGCAGAAAAGGCATTCCCCAGAAGTGGGAGGGAACGGCATCCACAGTTTGCCCAGTCCTCGGTTCCCTCCTCTCCCAGCAGCTCTGGAACCTCGGCCCCTTTACACAGTGAACTCGTAGACATGAGCCCCTCTGTGTCTGCACTGAGCTCTCTCAGGGGACCTGGGACTATAGGTTGACATTTCACATAAACGAGGAAAGGGCCACAAGAGAAGCCTATTGTTTCTTCTCATATAAGTGACTACCCAGTGTGGCTAAAGGGCACCCTTGACCTCTACTTGTGTCCACTCAAAAATGCAACCCAGGGGTGCTGCTGTGTGTGGGATTGATGACCATGATCTCAGTTGCTCAGTGATCTCTCCTTCTGGGCTTGTTCCCCCCAAGATGGCAGCCTGCCCTGGTGAGTCTCTCAGCTCTTGGCTGCCCTGTGTTATGGAAGTGTAAATCCCGGACACGTGGAAGGAATGTGTTGATCTGTCTTTCGCTCCCTGGTGTCCTATCAGCTCAAGCTCCATATTCCTTTCCTCCTCAGGCACAGAAGCCCGAGCCACAGGGCATCAGGTCCCTCCCCCCTGTTCAGGACTTGCCTAACCAATCTGCTGTCACTGAGCAACATTGGGGCTGCCTGGGTGTCAACTCTGGAGAGCGTAGCACCACGCTGCCCTCTCAACCTCGCTGCCCAAACCCCAGGCCCCGACGGGCCCGAACCTGGAGGGATGGCAGCCGATGGGGGCATGGAAGACATTAGGAAGAAAAGGAACGGCCAAGACACTTTTTTCTTTAACAAGCATTTAACTCTGCATCAGGAGACGCCAACACAGTATTCTCTTTCAGCCAGGTCAGCATCTGGATCTCCACGCCAGCTGGCAGGGGAGGATGGGCACTGTCAGGAACTCATTCGCATCTGTGGGCTTTTGTACAGGACTTCCCTAGGCCAGTGTGCAAGGCTTACACCAGGGCACAGCCCAGCAAAGCTAAAATCCCCGGCCATTTGGCACCTAGAAAACACACAAACTGTTCAGTGTGGGAGACAGGGGTTCCCGGGGACAGCCCCTTGCACCACTTCTCCTCTGCCCTGGTTCCCTCCTGCCCCAGCTGACCACTGAGGATTAGTAGGGAGAGGAAAGAAAGGAATAGGGCATATGCCAAAAGTAACACCGATTCCGATCCTGAGTGAGGGCCAGGTATGATTTAGGACGTCAACTCTGTTTGTTGACCCAAGTTGAAGCATGAGTTTTTACTCTTTAATGGGGAAAATATAAATTTGAGGAATTAAAAGTAGATCCCATTCAAGGTCATCAAGTGGGGTCCTCCCTAAATGAGCCATCTGGTATTTATAAATAACCTGTTAGCTGCCAAACCTCTGCCACTATGTATTTCTAGCTCTACTTTAGTTGGTAAGGAAACTTGAGCCAAGGAAAGGTTTGAGTGGGATGCCTCTAGTACCAGAGTAAGGCAACAAAGACAGCAAGAAAGTTTGCTGGTGCCTCACACTCTTAAGAAAAGTTCCCCAGCCCTGTTAGGAAGGGATTGTGGCTAGGCATGGTGGCACGCCTCTGTAATCCTAGCTACCCCGGGAGGCTGAGATGGGAGGATTACAATTTAACGAGACCCTGTCTCCAAAATGATATAAAAAGGCCTGGGGAACTCAGCCAGGGGTAAAGCTCCCTGAGTTCAGTCCCCAGTACTGACCAAAAAAAAAAAAGGAAGGGATGGTGGGTGTAAAATGCCAGTGCCAGTGGCAGACAATTTCAATTCTCAGGATGTATGTAGACCTTTCCAATCTGATTCTATGGGAGTCCTTGCCCAGCATGCATAGTCCCTGACAATCCGGTTATGTTGCTGCTAAGAACTCACCCGCTCACCCATCCACCTACCCATCCATTCATCCATTCATTCACTCATTCATTCATTGCAAAAAAAATATTTATGGAGCACCTAGCTTAGTGCCAAAAGGAGCTTTTACATTCTTCAGGCCACCCAGTGCCATCATAGCCGCTGTGGGTTTGGCAATATTTTTTTTTTCTTATATTTGATCTGGGTCTGACATTCAAGCACACTGTGCTTCTGTATTCAGGATTCCTCTGGATTCCACCCTGAAGATGGGAGCCACAGGCTCCACCAAGTAGAGGCAGAGAAGGGAATTGTGAGAGAAAGGGATGTGAGGAAAGGTGCTTACTTCTCAGTGTGGCCTCTGTCCAGAGTTCCTTGGCACCTGGGTCTGGAGCCACAGCTTCGGGGTGACCTCCAGAGGGAGAGTTGGGTGAGGCCCCATCCAAGGTGCAGGCCCTAGGCTGGTCCTGCCTTCAAGGGCTGCTTTCAGAGAAAGAAAGCTAGTTCCTGATTTTTGATCAGCCCAGGAGAACAAACTCGCTGGGAACAGGGAAAGGAGCAGTGTAAGAAATAGGAAAGAACTGGCTTGAAAACATTCACTGGGCTCCTGAGGTCCATGTTCTTTTCAGCAAAATGAGGAACATGTGGGGACCCCATAGCTGCTATGCCTCCCTTCTGGCCCCAGAGTATCAAGAGCATCCCCCAGGCTGTAGATTGGAAGTGGGAGCCACTTCTAGCATAAGTCAAAAGACGGAGTTTGCAGAGAGACCCCAAGAATGACCCCCTGCCCTGGCTCCAGGGAGTTTGCTTTTAGACACCTCCTAACCCAGCTCCAGGAAGACTGAAGAAGAAAACAGTGGTTTTCCCCTTTCCTATCCCTGTGTTGTCCTCCTGACCATAGCCTGCATGTACCCTCAGAACAAACTAGAAAGCTCTGGTCCCCTTCTCTGCACACAAGTGTCCCCATATTCTCACCTTTTCCGACAGGGGCCAGGAGGATCTGGTGAAGGGCAGCTCCATTACAGCTCTTGGTAAGAGCTGAGGTAGGGTGGGATAAAGAGGGAAAAACGTCAGTCCTGGATAGGGGTAACTTGACATCTTTGTCATTTCCCAAGATCCCGACCACCATGGCCATATGGAACCATCGACCTTGAGCTAACATTGAAATGCCTCCCCAGAGTAACCAGAGGCTGCAGGTAGCAGGAGGGTGCTGGCCCATGGAGAGGGGGCTATCCCCAGAGTACCTCTAGCCACACACCAGGTGGGGAACAGGGAAAGAGGGTGCAGTAGCCGGAAGTGGAACCTCTGAGCCATACTTCCAGGTGGCCAGGCCCTGTCCTCCCATTTCTTACTTCAAATCGGGACCTAAATGTGAAATGACCACTTCTCATTAAAGGCCACCTTCATCGCTGCCAAAAAAAAAAAGAAAAAGAAAGAAAGAGAGGAGGGAAGACTGCTGGAAATATGTACGTTCTAAATAACATTGCCTTTGATTGATAAACCCAAATCAGCCATTCTCCAGTACAGGCTTGGAGAATAGGATCTGGAAACCCACAAAGGGATTGAAATAGTTGTTGGATGTTGCAATGGGGCAGCATAAGGAAGGGCCATCCTTCAGCTCTTACCATCCACCAAGGCTTCATTCTCCATAGTCTGGTCCTGCCGGGGTGTTCTCTGTGGCCCTGATGCTCAGACGTCATTGAGCCTCCCAAGCGATGCCAACCCAATGTCTCACTGTTTCTCTTTGGCTCTTCTCTTCATGTTTAGGAAGATCCCTCCTGCGGCAGATAGCCCCATGCCCTCGCCAGCAGCCCACATCACCACCCCTGTTCCAGCATCCGTTTTGCAGCCTTTCAGCAACCCCGGTGCTGTGTATCTTCCTTCAGCTCCCATCAGCTCGAGACTCACCTCTTCTTACATAATGACATCAGCCATGCTCTCAGACGCAGCTTTTGTGGCATCGCCGGACCCGCGCGTCCTCATGTCCCACACCACAGCTTTCCCCCATGTGGCCGCCACCCTCAGCATCATGGACTCAACCTTCAAGGCCCCATCTGCCGTGTCCCCGATACCAGCCGTCATCCCTTCCCCATCCCACAAGCCATCCAAAACCAAAACCAGCAAATCCTCAAAAGTCAAAGACCTGTCCGCCCGTAGCGACGAGTCTCCAAGTAACAAAAAGAGGAAGCCCCAGTCTTCGACTTCCTCCTCCTCCTCCTCCTCCTCCTCCTCTTCCTCTTCCTCCTCCTCTTCCTCCTTGTCCCTGCCGCCTTCCCTCTCGTCTCCATTGTCAGGGCCCCACAAAAAGAACTGTGTCCTGAATGCCAGTTCTGCTTTGAACTCCTATCAGGCGGCCCCTCCCTATACCAGTCTGTCTGTGCACAACTCAAACAATGGGGTGAGCCCACTCAGTGCCAAGCTGGAGCCCTCAGGACGGACCTCGCTGCCCGGCGGCCCCGCGGACATAGTGAGACAGGTGGGCACGGTGGGCGGCAGCAGTGACTCCTGTCCCCTCTCTGTGCCCTCCCTTGCGCTCCACACAGGGGACCTCTCTCTGGCCTCACACAATGCCGTGTCTTCTCTGCCCCTCTCTTTTGACAAATCAGAAGGAAAAAAGCGTAAGAACTCGAGCACTAGTAGCAAAGCCTGTAAAATCACTAAAATGCCTGGTATGAATAGCGTTCACAAAAAGAACCCACCCGGCCTTCTTGCACCGGTGCCCGAGCCCGTTAACAGCACCTCCTCTCGGCAGGTAAGGGACCTCCTGGCACAGCCTTCATCGGCTCTGGGGGGCAGGGGGAGCTGGGCAGTGCCCCTGCTTGGCCAGGTGGCTCAGACAGGTAACGCAAGCGTGGCTCCTTTTCTCGTTTTCCCTGTAGGCGACCTTCACCCTCTGCTTTGAGAGCAGTTTATTTAACAAACGCTTCACAGACTCACTGTGAGCTAGGCAGTGTGCTGAGCACGTTACAACCATCACCCCATCTAGTCCTCACAGCCGTCCAGTGCGGTTGGTAGAATTGTTGTTGCCACTTTACAGATGGGTAAACTGAGGCACGGGGCGTTTGAGTTCCCCACTCCACTTTTGTTGATTTTTCTATCTTGGGTTTTATCAGGATGATTTCATTAAAGAGTTCTGGTGTTAAGAAGTTTGATTTGATCTGTTGGAATCCCCTCAGGAAGAGCCCAAGGTCCAAGCAGGTTTAATGGCTAGGGAGTGGTAACCTGGTTTCCCAGGTCCCAGGAGATTGTCCGCAGTTCACCAGGCTGCCTGGATCCATGCCCCCTCCTAATGTAACTCTTTCCTTCCTAAAGGAAAACTGCAGCTCACGCCAAATGCGTGTATCATGAGGACGMTGGGAAAACGTGGGTGGCCCAGCTGGGTACAATGGCACACACCTGTGATCCCAGCAACTTGGGAGGCTGAGGCAGGAGGATCGCAAGTTCAGAGCCAGCCTTAGCAACTTAGTGAGGCCCTAAGCAGCTTAGTGAGACCCTGTCTCAAAATACAAAAAAAGCGGGGGGAGGGGGGCTGGAATGTGGCTCAGTGGTTAAGTGCCCCTGGGTTCAATCCCCATTACCAAAAATAAACCAAAAATGTGGGTGATCCAAGAAGAATGTGTGTTTCATTCCCTTGGGCTCCGTTCCCAGTCCCAAATCCAGTCTGTCTTCTCGGGCTGGAGGAGCTACTTAGGAAAGGCCGCTACCACCCACTCCTCAGCCCAGCTGGTGGGAGGACCAACACCTGCCCAGAGACTGGAGTTCAGCCTGAGGCCAGTGACCTAGAATTCATGGGCTAAACCATAAGGCTGCTCCAGGCTAGGGATGAGGACTTTGGAAAGATGGGAGGCAGAGGTTAAAAGTGGTCTTCATGTTTTATGTCACCATGTATGGGACTTGTTAAAACCCCATGAAGAACACCTCCTGAGGGAGGGGGAGTCACAAGTACACACTCGAACAACAGCAAGTTTGGAGCCCAAGGGGGCCAGACAGCTGCAACGAGGCCAAGGTGAGAGGAGTGCAAGATACAGGTCCTCTGTTAGCACCTGGCTCCATTCTGATCCCCCAGTTCCAGAAATAGGAGTGGGGCCCTACCTGCAGATAAACTGCTGGCCAGTGCTAGCACGTTTCAGGATGGAGGACACAGCCAGGGCTTCTCAAGCTGGAATGTGCACATGAATGTGAAAATGCATATTCTGCCAGGTGCGATGCTGCATGCCTTTAATCCCAGTGTCTGGAGAGGCTGAGGCAGCTGGATGGCAAGTTCGAGGCCAGCCTCAGCTACTTAGCAAAGCCCTAAGCAACTTAGCAAGACCCTGTCTCAAAATAAAAAGGACCAGGGATATAGCTCAGTGGTAGAGCGTCCCTGGGTTCAGTCCCCTGTACCAAAAACCTGCACATTTGGAGTGAGCAGGCTTGAGGTGGGACTGAGTCTACATTTCCAACACAGCCCACCATGTACCAAGGACAGTCACAGAGGAAGGGACATACCCACATGTCCCCAGTACTGCCATCCCAGGGCACAGAACCTGACTTCCAGACAGGGCCACTACAYTGCACTAGTTTGCTGACCATGCCTTGGACAGCAAAATCATGATATCCCACTCATTTTAGATAGAGTTCTAGCAGCTGACACGTGTGATGTCTCTGTTCCAAGCACTTCAGATATATTAACTCAATAATTACCTGTCATTGCCCCCATCTTAGAGATGAGTCAACCAAGGCACAGAAAGGTTACCTAGCTCACACAGAAAATAGAGTAGGTCTGGGATTTAAAGACAGGCATTTTGCTCTGGAGTCGGGCTTTTGGCCTCTGTGCCGTTAAGGGGCTATCTCCACATTGAGAGACAGCTGCTCTCTTGGTTCTGGGATCTGCAGGACTGTATGAAATGCTTGGGTGACACAATGAATCAATCAAAAGCAGTGGCAAAAAAATCAGATGAGTCTTCTCCACCAGAGTGCTTGTCAGGAGGAGAATCAACACTGGTGTTCACCTCCAGGGATTTCCAAGTGTTGGGAAAAGGCCATGGCCTTTGGGGTGTGCACTGATGGTCTTAGAAGGTTGGGAGAGTGAAAGCATAAAGTTGAAAAATCCAAGATAAGCCTGTGCTTTGGAGACAACTTGAGGATCCATTGAATTATGTCTGGTAGATATAAGGCCAGAATTTGCTACCAAGATATTAAACAGACATGAACTGAGACTGTGTGTTGCAGGCAAATGTCTTTAGGCAAAGGTGGGTTGATGTTGAGGAGGATCTGTGTACAGGCTGAAAGCGCTAGTTGCCTTTGCAGCCAGGCCCGGTGGCGCCCACCTCTAACCCCATTGGCTCAGGAGGCTGAGGCAGAAGGATCGCAAGTTCAAAGCCAGTCTCAACAACTTAGCAAAGCCCTAAGCCATTTAGTGAGACCCTGTCTCAAAATTAAAAATAAAAAGGGCTGGGAATGTGGCTCAGTGATTAAGCACTCCTAGGTTCAACCCCTGGTACAAAAAAAGAAAAAGCCTTGCCTTTGCAAACAAGTCAGGAACAAGGCACTGGCCCCTGATATTAGCTCCCACGATGTCCCAGCTCACCATGTGACAAGGACAGTCACAGAGGAAGGGACCCATCCACATGTCCCCACTACTGCCATCCCAGGGTCCTAGCTGAGCACAGTGCCCTGCCCTTCCTGCACTTGCAGGGGCAGCCAGCACCACTGTGCTGATTTTCTGAATGCTGTCTCCTGGCCAGGAAACCTGACGCAGAAACAGGTGTTTTTAGCTACCGATGATCCATGGGAATCTGGGCTGGAGACAAGGTGGGTCTGCAACGTGGGTCAGAGGTAGGTGAACTTGTGTAGCCCACGCGTGGACACGCTGGGGCTTCCAGGAGAGGCCAGCTTCTCACCAGATACTTCACCCTGACACTTGCAGTCTGTCCATCTGGGAAGCAAAATTAGGATTTCGCTACCATCCTGCTTTTCCTCTGGGAATCATTGTCACTTTCTGCCATTGAAGAAGGCTCATTTTGAAGCAGTGTGAGAGAATGAGGCCCGTGCACAGCCCTGCTCCTCGCCCCCAGCAGTGTGGTGTCGGAGGGACTTTCCAAGGTGCCTCTGGTGTCTGAGTGGGCTTCACTGGTGTCTTTCAGGTTGGGAAAAATAGCAGCCTAGCTTTGTCACAATCCAGTCCTTCAAGCATATCCAGCCCAGGACACAGCCGACCGGTAAGTTAYTGGGGGTCACGATGATCCACAGAGTCCACATCAGGGCAAAAAGAGTGGGCTGGGCATTGGGGTCAGAGGTCAGACCCTAATTCAAACCTCAGCTCTAGATAAGAGTGTGATTACCTGGCTCCCAAACCTAGCTAGGCCTTCTCGTTATTCACTTTACTCCTTGAACAAGTTACTTAACTTCTCTGTGCTTCCATTTCCTCATGTATAAAGGGGAGCCCCTCATGGCCACTAACGCCGTACGTAAGGCTCTTGTGAGAATTAAATTAGTTTATTCACATAAAATCTCTGGAAAATGCCTGGCACGCAGCAAACATACAAGTGTTAGCTGTTATTATTATTATCAGATGTGTGATCGTAGACAGATTGCTTCTCTGGGTCTCGGTTTTTTTCATCGGTTAAGTGCCAAAATTGGGCTGGAAGGGTAGCCTCGTGGTAGAACACTTGCCTGGTACACATGAGGTCCTGAGTTCAATCCTGAGTGCTGAAAAAAAAAAAGAAAAGAAAAGAAAAGGGCAAAATTGATGCTTACGTCCTAATAGCATTGTGAAATTTAAATAAGATGATGTTGATTAAAGGGCTTACTCGTGACATTTATCAGTCTGTGCTTTCTCAAAGGCCTGGTGAACTGTAGTTGTCCTTCAAGATGTGGTTTCATGCTAGGCATATTCAGGATAGATTTAGCAGTTTTTATGAACTTGAGGTGTGAGAGTAGTCAACGTACAAGCTCAGGGATATGATTTTTCTCAGTGGAGTTTGTGTGTATGTGTGTGTGTGTGTGAAGAAAGCAAGGAGGGTCAGGGGTGGGGTTGTGCTTCAATTACATGTCATGTTGTTTTGGACATGCAGTCATGTTTTATAGACACTAAAGAGCAACATGTTTGTGTTTTGCCCTTTGAGATTTTCCCACAAATCTTGGGTAGAGTTTAGGGGAAAAAGATTACGGGGAAACTTTTTGTATCCCTAGATGCAAAGGCTCTCCCCACTATTTTGAGTGGCTATGGGCCTCTTTGCACTTGAGCCTCTGCAGCCTATCATCTGTGCTAGTCTGGGAGGGTGGCGCCTCTATGCTTAGTCAGCTTCTGTGGTGGGTGGGCCCCTGGCAGAGGTTGCTGAGTGTGTCTAGAGAATACATTTTCACCCTCACCAAGCATGTGTCCATAGCTCCAGGTCCCTTGCTGGGAAAACGAATGCTGGCAGTGAGACTTAATAAATATGGAATAATACCAACAGCTACTACTTGGTGAGCACTGTCTCTGCAGCTGTGCTAAGCCCTTTACATACTGTATGGACATACTTGTAACAACCCCATGAGGGACAAGAGTATACTCTGGTGATAGATGGAGATGGCTGTCCTAAGAAGCTAAGTAACATGAACCCCAAATCTTGCTTCTCTAAAGCCTCTGTATTTAACCCAACGGTAYACTCCTTCCTTAGATAATTCATTGGGCCATCTGTAGGTTACGTAGGAAAAGGTGAACCAATAGAGGGGGAAAAAATGAAGACATCACTTATTCCAGTCCTCTCTCCAGGAGAGGAGTTCCAGGAATGTCCACTGCATTTGTCCCTGTGTTTTCCTCCAGTCCTAGGATCATGGTGACTACATAACATATCTGGAGTCCTTTATAGCCATCACCTCATTTGCTTATTACAGCTGTCCTTTGCCATGTACTGGAGGTAGGATGTTATCCTTTCTGTTATGGTTGAGAAAACTGAGGCTCCATCCTTGAATTTTCATGGGCTATCCCAAATGTATGGTTTTGAAACAAGTTTTTCTTTTCTTTCCTAGAAGAACACAAACAGAATGGGCAGGATAAGGACTCTTCCATAACAAGACTATGAAGCCACTTCCAAAACAATTCCTGGTTGTGATCCCACCCCAGGAGGCCATGGCAGGAGGAGGAGGGAGGGGAGTGGGCCCTTGGGGAGCGTGTCTTCCCTATGCCCTGCCTGTGGCTCTGGCCTTTCTTCTTCTTCTTTTTTTTAATGATCAGTTTTTTCGTTGTTGTTGTTTTTGAAGAAACAGAAAAAGGCAAAAGAACGTGGATTTGAAACTTTCAGAAAACAATACCAGTGTTTTCTTTCCATTTTTCATTTGCCACATTTTTACATTCTTCCAAATTTGGGGTCACTTCCCTCACTCCTGATGCTGCTACCCCACCATAATTTTGCTCCTGCCCTGAGAGCAGACGTCGCAGAATGTCAGTTCTGGGTTGGCGCCGTCTGAAGCTCTTGAACTTTAGCACATGCAGAGCTCTTTCTCCTTGTTCTCTCCCACCGCATCCCTCCCATCCCCAACCTGCCACTCACAGGGCAGGAGGGGCCCACTGGCCATCAGGAGTGGCTGGCTCCCACCAGTACCCCCTGGACAGCATGCTGGGGAAGGGGTTTTGTTAGGGAGGATCCTAAGAGGAAAGAGCCAGAGGGTATGTGGGTGCCCTCAACAGATTTCTACAGCCCAGCAGGCAAAATTGAGAACATTGGCTGCTTAATGACCTGGTTTACCAATACCAGTGTCTAGCTGTACAGCCCAGAAAAGACATACAGGGGAGAAGCAGAGGGGACCTGGAAGAGTGGCAGAAAGCAGAACCTGGCCAGTAGGAGACAATGTCCCTTAAAAAATGGTGGGGACCAAGTAACTGTGATGGTCTGAGTTTGTTAGGAATCCATTCTGCAGAATCCCTTCCAGGGCACGGTGTGCAGGTTCCCAAAGTTGAGTGAGTCAGAGATGGAGGAATCCCAGGGGAAAGGCCACTGAACCAAAAAAGTCACTCCATCAGGAAGCATGGTGATCTTCAGCTAAAGGTTCTCAAGTTGCCCTCTGGGGACAGGAAAGATCCTCAAGGGGAAAGCCTCCATGGAGGATCATGTATCAAATCCCTTGTGAAAATAAATACTAGCATTGCCCACCCATGCCCAGAGGGGAACTTGCATTGCCCACCTACACCCAGAAGTGAGCGTGCATTCTGTTCTCAGATGCCCCAACTCAGACAGCCACCCCTGAGAAGAAATGGTAAAGGACGTGCCATCTCTTAGTGAAGAGCCATTTGGAAGAGCTGAAGAGAGACATTGGAGCATCGCAGCTATGAAGTTTTTCACACTGGAGTTTTGAAAGAAACAGCAATACCATAAACTCTAATAAGGAATCATCATCAGGAACGGAATTCCTAATGTGAAACAGGTGTTCTRTGCTATTAATTAATCTTATAAGTTTGCATACAACAGAGATGCTAGGAGGTTCTCTTTCATCCTGAAATCAGAAATGCTAGTCTCGCGGCTGGGTGCAACCCCCAATCCCAAGGTTTTCCTTTATTTTCCCATCCCCCAACCCAAAGATCAGACTACTGTTAAGTTTCACCACAYGATTGGAATCTGAAAAGGTGGGAGGCTAACGGAGTGATCTGCATTGATGGAATTGCACTGACAGTATTTCTTATAGGATTACTAAATTTTTTAATATAAAAAAAGATTTTTTTAAAAATCAGGAGTTGATATTAAGTACCAGGACATTAGTTCAGATGATTTCATTTTTATTTCAACAGTGTTAAAAGTGCACTTATATGCTGGTTTATTTGAGTCTTGGAAAAAAGAGACTGCAAATTGAAGGGACGATTGTTAACTTTTTCTTTTTAAAAAAAAGGTTAAGGCAGATTTTAAGACTTATAAATGTTTAAGAAATTATAAACAAGGTTAGACCCTTTGAAAAAAAAAGTTTAGAAGATATTCTTAAAGTAAATTTTTATAGTGTTAATTTTGTAATAATTTATGTTTTACTATATTACAGAGCTAACTGACCAGAATAGTTTCAGAAACAATATGAAACTTAGGAAAGTTTAAGCAATGTTTATATTTTTAAAATGTTCTTTGAATTATGTTTTTATTGTATGTTTCTTCAGACCGAAAAGTATGTACATATCTTTGTTATTTTTGCACAATTTTTGTCTTGTTCGGTTTTAGAAGTCTGATGTTTTTTATAATTTATTTTGAGTTTTAAAACTTGCAGGAGTAGAAACAAAACCAATCTCAGCAACAAAATAACCCTCTGATTTATAAACTTTTACACTCGAAGAGGGAAAACAAAGGTTGAGAGATGAAGTGGCTGCTTCTGAGAAATAATGTCTCAACAGGGACTGAAGGAGCGGGTTCAACATTTTAGCTCCCTGCGTCTTGAAATGGAAGCTGGAATAAAGAGGTTCCTCACCAAATGCTGCTTACTTTCTTGAAAAACTGGCTCTGACCAAGGTGAGGACATTTATGGATAACTGAGCAAAAAGGGAAAACCCACGGTATTTCTTCTTTCGCAATCAACCACAGGTTTACTTTGTATTGATGTATTAAAAACTTGCAGCTTGAAAAGTGGAATGCAAATAAAGGTTTTCTTTGGGTTTATTTTCATGGAGTTCAACTGGAGCAGCCTATAAAGCATCTTTAGGGTGGTATCCTTTGGGTCCTTCTGTTCTGCACACCCCCCAACAGCCTTCTCTCCCAGCCCCTTGACTGCACACACCCCTATTTGCCTGAAGATCTCCTGACTTGTCGCCAGCCATAGAGGCTCAAAAGCTCTGGTTGTTAAACATAACGCAATGCATAGACCTGTCAGCCATAAAAAAAAAAAAAAGAAAGAAAGAAAGAAAGAAAGAAAGAAAGAAAGAAAGAAAGAAAGAAAGAAAGAAAGAAAAGGAAAAAAGAAAGAAAGAGGAAAAAAAAGAAAAAAGAAAAAAAAGCGACTTGGATAACTTGTATGCCTTCTTTTGTATCAATGTACCAATTGTAAATAATGCTGATCAACCTTTGTAGAGAATAGTTTATACAGCATATTCTATTATTGCTGATTCTCAGTGAACTCTTGTTTTAAAAAAGGAAAAAAAAGAAATTTTCTATTTACACCTTATATTTTGTTATGCTGTTGGCCCATGGCACTTTAACAAAACTCTGTGGGTTTTAGGTAGCTGGTCAGTCATGGGGTACATTAAATAACTGTTGTTGCACAGACAAGAATTTGCACCTGCTCATTTGTCCTTTCCTACTACCGATTTTAGAACCTTTTCCAGAAGAATTTTGAAGAAAGCATGTCCAATCATTCTAAACAAATGCCACACTTGTGGAGTGGGTTTCTTTTCTACGATCCATATTTTGTAACACTAAGTATTTTCCTTCTTTGTCCCRCACCTTTATGTATTAGCACTATCAGATAGAATTCATTCCATGCCTGTGATATTGTAAGCAGAATAAATGTAAGGAGGTGTAAATAGTAAATTCTATGGCTTACAGTTTTAAAAAGAAAGAACAAATATGTATCTATTGATACTGCCACGGTTCAGCATCAGGCCTGGAAATATTCTCCAGTAAGCGATTGTAATTATTTTTTTTTTTTTGCTTTTTTTTTCTTTTGTAACATGGCTTTGTAAATAAAATAATTTATATGTTTGTAAAAAAGAAAGAAAGAAAGAAAGAAAGTCTTGGGGTTTTCATAAATTCTAAACTTTTGGTCTGCCTTTCTTTTCTTGTGGGTGACAGCACTGTCACCAGAAGAGCCTTCTCCCTAGAACATACGTTTGCAGCAGGAGATGACGGGGATAGTGAATTCATTGGGCAAATATTTATGGAGCCTCCTCTCTGTGCCTGCCCCTGAGCTAGGCGCTGTGTGTTCAGTGAAGAGAAACAGATACAATCCCAGCTGCTCTCTGGAAKCTACCCAGTCGGGGAGAGAGCAAATAAACACATGATCAAATGTGTAATTACAGCTTGTGGCCAATGCTATGTGGAAAGAACTGAGTTTTATGGGAGAGAAAAAAACAAGAGAAACTGATGTGAATTGGAGAGGGCAGATCTAGAGGTCTCTAAAGAAGGGAGCAGAAGGCCRAGATCATCCAAGGTAGGAAAGCTTGGTAAGCCCTCAGGGCATAAGGAAGGGTCCGCCCTGGACACAGCAGAGACAGAGAGATGGACAGAAGTTAGGGACAAAGTCACATAAARCCTTGTAGAATTTGGATTTTGTACTAAATTCAGAGGGAATTCTTTGAAGGGCTTTAAATAAAGGCATGACATGATCTATTAAAAAAGTGTTCTAGAGGCTGGGGTTGTGGCTCAGTTGTAAGGTGCTTGCCTAGCATGTGTGAGGCRCTAGGTTTGATCCTCAGCACCACATAAAAATAAATAAAGGTATTATGCCCATCTACCACTAAAAAAGATTTTTAAAAAAAAGTCCATGTGGTCCTAGGATAAAGACAGGAGCTATGAAGAGAAGGGAATTGGCAGAGCATGGTGGTATACCCCATAATCCTAGCAACTTCTAAGGCTGAGACAGGAGGATTGAAAGTTCCAGGCTAGCCTCAGCAATTTGGTGAGGCCCTCAGCAACTTAGTGAAACTCTGTCTCAAAATAAAAATGGCTAGTGGGTGCTGAGGTTGTGRCTCAGCGGTAGAGCGCCCGCCTAGCTCGTGAGAGGCCCTGGGGCCCTGGGTTTGATCCTCAGCACCACATAAAATAAATAAAGATATTGAGTCCAACTACAACTTAAAAAAATAAATATTTTTTAAAAATGTTGTCATGACCTGTTTAAAAAAAATGGCTAGAGATTTGGCTCAGTGATTAAGCACCCCTGGGTTCAATCCCCAGTACCAAAAAAAAAAAAGAATAGGTTCAAGATACATTTTAGATATTAAATTAACATGACTCATCTGAGGAAAGAATGACTCCCAGGTTTCTAGTAGAGCAATGGTGTTGGGTGGAGATGGGAAAAACCAAGGCAGGAAGAGATTTTTTTTAGGGGGCCGCAGGAATCGTGTTTAGTGAAGTTTGGGAATCCCATTGTGTGCTCTCCACATGAGCGGCCCAAGGTGATCTCTGAAAACCGTTCAGTGTTCACTTGACCCAGAAAACCCTACAAAAATCATGCAAGTTAAGAGGTTCCAGTCTTCATATTCACCTCAGGAGCTCAGTGAAACTGCCCAGCCCATCAAACGTAGGGCTACCCAAAAAGCCACCAAGTATCTGAAAGGCGTCACCTTACAGAAGCCATGTGTGCCATTCCATTATTACAGTGGTGGATTGGGAGGTGTGCCCAGGCCAAACCTTGAGGCTGTACAAAGGGCCAGTGGTCCCCAAAAAAAAAGGTCTGAATTTTTGCTACACATGTTTCATAAGGCAGAAGGTGCTGCTGAACTTAAAAGGTTTTGGTAGATTCTGTGGCTACTGAGCACCTCCAGATGAAAGAGGCACCCAAGATGCACATCACACTTTCAGAGCCCAGGCTCAGGTTAACTCAGACACAAGCTCCCCCTCCCACATCAAGATGATCCCCACTAAAGAACAAGTTATTCTTAAACCAGCAGAGGAGGTTGCACATAAGGAAAAGATGTTCCAGAAGAAACCAAAGGAAAAAAATCACCTGGGAGTTTGTCAGTATGAGCAAGACCCTGGGTTTAATCCCTGGGGGCGGGGGAAGGTGGGTAAATTCAACATCAAATAAAGGTAAATAGGAGTTAATATTAAGTTTTKTTTTATACTTAGATGTTTGATCATGTAAGAGATGACAGTAAAATGTGTAACTGTCCCTGATGCTGCTTTATCAGGAAGGCATGGTGCAGACACTGTTGGCTGGTCTAGGTTGGCACTGATTTGGGAAGCAGGTTCATGGAGGTTATTTAGAGCCATAGGTATGGTTGAGTGAGGTTGCTTAAGAGAATGTAAAGGGAGACAAGCAGACATTGGGGAAGTTGAGTAGAAGCCAAAAGCTGGCAAGGATAAGCCCTCACTGAGAAAAGAGAACACAACAGAAAGTGGTTCCCTGGAAGCCAGGACTTTAAGATGTTCAAGGAGCAGTCAACTAAATCAAATACCACTGCAGTGTAAGAGAGAGATGAAATGTGTCTGGGGTTTTGCAACACGGAGGTCATTGAAACTACCACACAAATTACCACAACTTTGGTGACTTAAAATCACAAAAGTGTATTCTCTCACAGTTCGGAAGACCAAAAGTCTCTAGGCTTCCAAAGGCTGTGGAGAATCTTCCCTCACCTCTTCCAGCTTCTGGTGACTGCTGACATTCTTTGGMAAATCTCGGTTTAGAGACGTATCACTTCAACCTCTGTCTCCATCTTCTCGGCTTTCTCTCCTGGGTGTCCCCGTGTCTTACATCTCCACTATCTTTCTCTTACAGGGATACCTGTCACTGGACCTCAGCCCCAGCTTAAATCCTGGTTAATCTCTAGATGCTTAATTACATCTACAAGTTCCATTTTCCAAATAAGTCCATACTTAATAGTTTCTGGGGTTGGGACTTGAAAATATAGAGAGATTTTATATATTTGTATGTATATATTTTATGTGTGTGTGTGCACGTGTGCATGTGTGCACGTGTGTGATTACTATTTAATTCACTCCGGTGACCTGACAGCAGGTGTGGTGGAGTTTGGGAGGTAAGGATGGCAAAGCTGAACTGGAATGTTTTGAAGGACAAATGAAAACTAAGCAAGGAAATTCAGTAAGTACAGACAAACCATAAAACGTTGGAAGGCACAGGGTAGTTTGGGATTGGGGTTTTTGTTTGTTGGGTTGGTTTGTTGGTTGGTTGGTTTGTTGGTTGAATGGTTGTTTTTTTTTTTTTTTTTCAAGGAAGGAGAGGCCAGACTATGATTCAGACACTGGTGAGGCAGGGGTAACAGGAGAGCCAGAGGTTGATAAAGC